TCGTCCTGTCCTGCAAGAACATTTCCCTCCTCATCCACAAAGTTGCCGTCCTTTGTGGTCTTTTCAATTTTCTTCAGTTGTTCTCGAAGAGCGTTTACTTCCGAGGCCGAGAACTAACAAATCAACCATCAGTTAGTACCGATCGGATAGATTATACAAATAACTGATGGCATACTTTTGACCGGGTGTTCACGGCTGATGTTGACCGCAAAATTGAAACCAGTGTCTCGTGTGTCTGCGCCAAAGGAGGAGCCAATACAGCAAGACCCTTCTGCAACTTCGCTAGTGATTGTTCACAGTGTTCCAGACGGTTTTCCAAGAGCGTGAGCAGGGCCGGTGAGTATGTGTTCCGGCCACGCTCAAGGGTTTCCCGTGTAGACTGTAGTGTTTTGGTGATCGAGTTCAGATCCTTCGAGCTATAGAATCCAGCCTCTTCAAGGTGGTCGAGTAAGCGCTACAAAACCGTTAGTGTCCAGGGCACAAAGCTAACGAGACGAGCCGAGAGAAATCATAGGAGTAAATACCTGGATAGTAGTCGCCAAGGAGTATCTGGAAAAATGTCAGTCACGGTCATGAGATGGTGGGGTAAGGACATCGTCACTCACACTGCGGGAGCTTCGTTGTTCCTCCCAACTGTTAAAAACAGCAGGGAAATCAACTGGAAACAATCATCCAAGACATAATCCACTATCATAGAGTGTCAGTCACCTCCAAGGCGAGTGCGTGATCTGCTGAACTCACAGCGATTGTGCACCAAGCGGCGACCTTGCTCTTTACGAACCGAATTGAGCTTCTCAACTTCTCCGATCACCTCCTCGTAAAGCGGTAGAACATCGCGGGACTTTACGTAAGAGGACTTGTCCCGTTTGATTAGGAGCAGCGCGTCGCGGGTTCGGAGCAGGCTTTCAAGGATGGGCTGCTCCTGCGGATCCAGCGGGACCGGGATAGCGGGGGACTCCATGGTTGGAGAATGCGATAAGTATGCAGATTAGAAAAAGCAAGGTTCGAGTTGAATAAAAGGAATAGATTCCCTGGAAGTAAAGACAAGAAGAGTCGATCGTACGATTGGATCCCACCGGGATGTGATGTCAATTAATGAATGGATTGATTGATAGGGAGATCATGCAGATACCACCAGATCGCATGGGCCCCGCGCGGTCGGGATTACTATCGGATTATGTCATCTAAATCATTATGTCATCTGGTTCCAGCTCCGTTTACGGCTTAGTGCCAAGTCACGAGGAGGGAGGTAGGCTAATCCCGATTAGTCCGAGCCCTAAGCGAGGGCTTTTTCCCACACACGGCGCGTTTGCCCTGTTCGGGTGTCTATCATTGGCGTTCTCCTCTCTTCTTCTTTCCCATCCCCAACTCTCTTCAAGACACCCAGTTCGGTCAACACCACCCGTCGACATGTCTACCGCCGAGCTCGCCTGCTCTTACGCCGCCCTCATCCTGGCCGATGACGGTATTGAGGTCTCCGTACGTATCCAAAATTCCTTGGTGGAATAGTGGAGGCTTGAAGATCGCACTTGAAGCTTTCTTTACTGTGTGAAATTGAGCTTTGGGAGAAACGCAACAGCCCGCTGGAAAGCTACTGGACGATTATAGCGAAAACTGTGACTGACCTTTAATCTTCATTCAGGCCGACAAGATCCAGACCCTCATCACTGCCGCCAAGGTCCAGGAGGTTGAGCCCATCTGGGCCTCCATCTTCGCCCGGGTAAATACCTGACCCCATTCCACAACACGCGCCAATATCGAAACAACCCGAACATGGCCGCGCGCGATAATTTAAAGACTCGATAACTAATTCGATTTTCAACACAGGCCCTCGAGGGTAAGGACATCAAGGATCTCCTGACCAACGTCGGTTCCGCTGGCCCCGCTGCCGCTGCCCCCGCTGGTGGTGCCGCCGCCGCTGCCGCCCCTGCTGAGGCCAAGGCTGAGGAGAAGGAGGAGGGTAAGTTTGATATGCATCTCTGGTTTGTGAGTTACGATACTAATCCCCACTACAGACAAGGAGGAGTCCGATGAGGACATGGGCTTCGGTCTCTTCGACTAAGCGTCTTATCTCCATATCGAATTTTAAAACTCGTTTCCTTTTTTTCTCTATTCCTCAACATCTTTTACCACTGCCGCCTGGCGGCGCCCTCGACGATTCTCTATTGTACTCGATACTCCACGACCCCCACTACGACCTAGAACCCGGGGAAGAAAAAAAAAGAAAATTAGCAAAAGAATTCAAACGGACACGGACATTCATGGAGACTGGGTGCTCGGTGTGCCTCCGCGTCACAAAGTGGCCGAGGTATACTCGATCGGATACCGCTGCGATTCCGAAACTATTGTTGCTTCCTGGATTTTAGGGGAATTGAAGACGTTTGGCACACTTCTTGGTTTGTCCACGATCAAAGTTCTGCTTTGATCTGGCGAGTAGATGTATGATTCGTTTTCTCGCCCTCCACATGGATCAGCTAGCTTAGTTTGCTCGGTCCTCGTGTCAAGTCTGTCATGCGACCATGAACCAACAACAAATGCCGTCTGATTCTTGCATGGGGTACTTGCTCGTAGGCCAAGTGACGTAGTGCTGTAGGGCTGATGATTGACGTCCCTTACATTGATCTTTCGACATCAAGCTGATCTTTCATTGAGCGCACCCAGGCAGCCCTTGTGGTTATCGCTCCACGGGCTAGACTCATCGACGGTGCAAAGTACAACATGCATAGGCTTTGGGACAACACCCTGGACTCCACACGCAGCCGTCTACTCTTGTATGATTACATCGATAATATCAACGATGTGCACTAGTAGCCATTTCAAGGTTGCTCTATCGCGAACAACACTACTCCGTATGTATATCGACGCTAACCACATATATTGGATTCAGTTGCGTTCACTATCAAAACACTATGCTACTCCAAAATTTTCTGATGTCCAGCATCACCAACAAACGCACGCAAATCGTCTCTCATCCAAAAGAACTTTGAGCTCCAGGGAAGTACATATTCGACAGTATATAGGCAAAAGGCCGTTGCTCTAGATAAAAGAGCAAATGTCAATATTTAGGAGATCGCCGAGAGACGAGGGTCCTGAACGGCGTAGATCCGGAATTGAATGAAGATGACCACATCCTCAACCATAGTTCCTAGTGATCCAATCAACCATGGAAGATTGGTAAGGAAATATTCTTTCTCGGTAGAATGGCAAAGAATCTATATCACGCCGTTAGCTTGCGTCCAGTTCATAGTGCAACTTGCAATATCACTCACCCCTGCACCGTAAGTCAAGTTTCCGAGAAGAGAGAGAATAAAGAACAAAAGTGACAATCCTAGATAGAGGTCAACATCAACCTTGCATATGCATCATCGGAGGACAGTAAAGAAATACCTTCGCATGACTTCTCGCTGTAGTTTTTGTAGATCTGAGGCAATCTCGCTCTGCAATCCAAGTCAATATCAACTCATCAGCCCCAAAGATAGGAGATACCCACCCCAGATAGCACACAGCACTGAAATATCCCAGCACCTGCCCCCCAATAGCTTCCTCGGAACCATTCTTATTGTCCAATGGCGCCGGCGCCCACATCCCCATCTGCCAGGCCATGGTCCAACCGAGCATACCAATGAGGAAAATCCCAGCAACACTAGTAATATTCTTAACCCACGCCTTACGGCCATAGTCACTCTCCTCGACGATCTTGGCCAGGGTATCCTCAACCTCACTCTCGCGCCGGCCACTAGCGTGGTAACGGCGCAATGAGCCTGACGACCGACGCCGCGACTCAGAAGAAGCGAGGGGGTCACTGAATCGCCGCCCCAGCAACGGGGTAGTCGGGTCCGGGGTCTCTGTGGACGAGCGTCGGCGGTGGAAAGGCTCCGGGCGCGAGTTGCGCACTTTATAGTACACACACTGCGCGATCAGCACGCCGTCTGCAATGCAGAAGTATACCGCGATCGCAACGATCACAGGTACAAGCCCGGCTAGTAGGCCGCCAGCGAGGTTTGCGATATCGCCGATGAGCCAGACAGAGATAAAGAGGAGAGAGATGGCTTCTGCGTTGCCATTGCGGTAGTTCTCAATTAGCTGAGGTACCTATAACAGTATTGTTAGATACATTGACTCCGTGTTTTGTGACTCTCTGCCGTCGAACATACCAAAAGGAAGAACCAGCAGGTCATAGAGACTGAACCAAAGAGACCAGATGCAGCCTCACGGGCTGTTAAAGGTATAGGGCCGTGATCCATGCTTTCTATGCTCTGCAACAGATGTGTGCTTGAGTGAAAGAAAATTGCGCGGGAGATAAGGCTATGACACAATCTACTCGGGGTACTCCCGCTATGTCCAAGCTTTCAAGGCTCCATAGGAAAATCTCTTGAAATACCTACATATATGTTCATATTCTACTTAAATATGATATATTTTTATATTAGAACGTACAGTTAATTTTTTTTTTAAACCAAAAGTACAAAAAAAAGAAACATGAATCTGTCAGTGCAGGATGATATGCATCAGCCAAGAATTAGATTGCTAGAGCCAATGATACACGTCCTTATGGTCATGCAATCTAAAATCCAAGTGCTACACATATACTCTGTACGACTATGATCGAGGCAATATCCTATAGGATATAAATTCCCCGTCAACGTTCTCTCAAGGCTTGCAAGATTGTAAAAAAAAGGTATGGAAAATATACTTTGGTTACATACTTTGGTTATATAAAAATTTCCCAAGACAATCTACATCGCCCAGAAAAATCGGAAAAGTCCAGATGGACAATTGAATGATTATCTTTTACGAGATATACTTTTGACTCTACTAGAAACATACCTGGTATCATTTCCTCTGCGTGTGAACCTTTTAGTCGACTGGAATTCCCAAAATAAGCCAGGGTTATGCTATAAATATTGTTATAATCTCAAAAAATATGTGCATAGAATCATTCGATTATTTTCTATTGTACTCAAGACTAATACAGAATTCATCTTAATCATGAAGCTGAATCATTCCCCTCGCATAATGGCGAGTTCATCCTCGAGCATGCTGACTGCAAAATCCCCAAGAGAGTCCTTAATAGTGCCATCTAACAAACGTTGGCGGGCTGCATCTGAGATTGCTGCCATGGCCTCCAGATAATTGGTCAAGGGTGCATAGTCCACAACCACCTCGCTCCAGTTGCCTCTATCGACGCCGTATTGGGAAAGGAAAATACGAAGAGTTTGCAACCCCTCGCGCGTGAGCCACCCTTCAAGGGCCGCCGGATCCCTGAGGGGTGGACGTGAGTGCGGGATATCGAAATGCTCTGTGTTTTCGTCTTCGTCCTCAAACCCAACTGACTCTTCGTCGTCCGATGGGACATTGGGAGGGCGGGCATCGTGGTTGATCTGACCGAGAAGGTCCTGCAGCCAATTTTCGCCACCTCCAGCTGGAGCTGCATAGATGGGAGTAGGTTCAGATTGTTGCTTGTAGGCTTCAGATTCATAAGGGGGAAGTGGATCGGAGGAGGACAACCGACCAGCCACAAAGTGATTCGGAAGATGGGTTGTCACTTTGGCTATATCGGACAAGACTACATGACGAGCGATGTCCAAAGTAATCTCTGGCGGCTCATTGGGCTCCTCGCCAGAGATAGAATCTGCGACTTCCATAATGAGAGAGATAGCCTCTGGGGTATTCCAAAGATCCTTTGCACGGGCGATGTAGAGTTCGGTAAGCAGCTCATGAGCGCCTGTAGGAGGCATCTTGCCCCATATTTGCTTGGGAACGTGCTGAACATCAAGTTCTTGGGCTAGCCTGCTGAAAATCCACGGGTAGCGGGACATGGCGAGCTGCAGCTGTCGACGACATTCTTGGGGCTTGTTCAACCGGAGGTATGCCATTACCAGCGAGCATTGGATATTGGGGAGGTTGGCCCAGTCGCGACTGAAGCGTGTCTGGGTGCATAGCTGCACGAATTGTGCATATTCTCTACCTCGGAGCGCGAGGTGGTCGATGAGCAGCCTCATACAGTAAGGATCACTGTTATCCAGACTGAGCAAGAGCTTGGCCCATTCATAAGCGGTTCTCCATGTGCCCTTCATTGCTAGGTTGGTGATGTACCTCCACCCAACAAGCCAGAGCTCTCGGTTCTCCGCATGTATGAAATCAAGCCTGGCCTCGCCTTCCTTGAGGCGATTAGCAAATGAAGAGTGTACTGAGCGTCCAATATTGAATAGAGCTCTTTCCATCAAATCGGCAGACACGGCATGATCACCTTGATGTTTGGCAATCTCCGACACTTGGAGAAGCGTAGAAATATGGTATGGGTTGTATTGGAGGTGTCCGATGAGTCGCTGTGGGTCCATAGATTCAACACAGAGGTCAAACTGCCGCTGTACATCTTGGTAGGCGGTATTGTGCACCAGTCGGTAGAGAGTCTCCCCGGAAGGAAGCTTCTCCACAGTCTCCATGCCTAGCCCTCCACTTGGAGCACGAGGCCACTCATCTTTGCCCTGCATTAGAACATTGCGTCGCAATGTAACTCCAGCCAGACTTTGACCTCGACTAGCTGGACTATATCTTCCCGTCAAAGCCTGAGCAAGGTCGACCATTTGTCGATTGCGATCCCGACGGCGGCCCGTTCCACTATCCGCTGGCTGATCAAAGTTTTCCAGAACAACATTTCCAAACAGTCTGCGCATCTCATTCGTCGCATTGAGAAATTTGGGTTCGATACCGAGCAATTCGCTCGTAGTCTTCGGGAAAGAGGTTTCGGGAGTGTGCCTGGTAGGTAGACCTGTGCCAACTGACGAGTGTCCACCTGTTGATAACTCTTTCAATGCCCGATCAATTTCATCCAGTTCTGCTTCATTTGATTTTGAAGGCGGAGTATTGGCCGGATCGGAGGTTTTGGCTGCCTTCTTCTTTTTTTTTTTCTTGTTGCTCTTTTTGGCCTTTATCGGGGTTGGTTCAGGCTCTGGTGTCTGTGTGCGAGGTTCCTCCTCTATTTCCTCTTCGTCTTCTTCTTCTTCTTCCTCATCTTCATTTTCGGCGTTCAGCAAATCGAAGGCATTGAACTTCGGTTTCGCGGGGCGCGGGGCTTCGTCTTCGCTTGACTCATCTTGCTGCTCAGATTCTCGCTGCTGTTCTTGTTCACGCAGCTTTTGCAGCTTTCGGATTGCTCGTGATGACATCCTATGCACTAAGGCAAAAGCCTTTGAACGAATATAATAGAAGCTGTCTGCAAAAGTAGAAACAAAAAAGAACGCGCCGAAACAAAACCGCGGGGAATGACGACAGAGACTAATCCGGACTAGCGCTATTTTGGAGAACATTCGCACGTGACTTCATCTCGAGGAGCTGGACCTCCTTGACAAGGTTGAAACCTCATCTACATACTATCTCAGAGCTGTTATCTGCCTTGCAGAAGGCACAGAAGTTTAACAGCTGTCATATTTACTGCTGGTTCAATGCGTCGGGCGACTATTCAGGCCTGCCGTACTGCTCGGCGTGCACCAGTATGGAACATTGCCGCTAAACGGCCGTGCCCTTTGACCTTCAACCAGCCGCGAGGTATTCGGCCATATTCTGGCGGCAGACCCTCATCCTACACCCCGGTAGCTCCACAATCATCTATGCATCGCCGCAAACTCTCCCTCGCCGTTATCTCGACCGTTGTTGCCTCGGGGGCATGGTATGCTTATCAGGGTGACACCGTTAGATCGGCAGCAACCCAAGTTCGGGGTTTCGCATCGAGCGCCCTCAACTCTGCCTACGCAGAAAGCCCTGCTGAGTCCACGCGGCGTGCGTTGATGGTCAGCGGGGATCAATTCTACACCGCGACGCTCTCCGGAGACCAACCTATTGCCAAGAACACAGACGAGTCAGGTCGCCAAGTCCTAGAGATGTTGACCCCCGAACAAGCGACCCAGAAGCTTCGCAAGAATGAGGAGTCATACCTGGTCAATCGGGGCAAGGGTGTCGTTCGTTATGATGTGGTTCAGGTTGCCAGCAATTCCCCCATTGAGGATGACCATGCGGAGAAGATAGTGGAGATTCCCGCATCCGTGGCTGCTGTCAGCAATGGCGAGCCGAGCAGTGACTGGATGTTTTGGGGAGTTTTCGACGGTCACTCGTACGTAGTGTCAAGGTTGAATACTTATCATGCAAGTACTGACTATAAATTAGGGGCTGGACCACATCCGCCAAATTGCGCAATGTTTTGATCTCATACGTGGCCCGTGAATTGAATACAACTTACAAAGCTGCCTCTGCTGACCCATCTCTCCTGGTGCCAACATCCGAGGCCATCGATGCTGCTATCAAGCAGGGTTTCGTCCGCCTCGACAATGACATCGTGCACGAGAGTTTCAAGGAAGTCATGAAGTCTAAATCACGACGGGTAGCCGCCGAGCTCCTTGCTCCTGCCCTATCAGGCTCATGTGCTCTTCTCAGCTTCTATGACTCCCAGTCCAAGGATCTCAAGGTTGCTGTTACCGGAGATTCTCGCGCAGTTCTGGGCCGTCGCGGCCCTAGCGGGAAATGGACTGCTACTGCTCTTTCCGAGGACCAGACTGGTGGCACACCATCTGAAATGAAACGTCTGCGTGAGGAGCACCCCGGCGAGCCATATGTCACCAAGAACGGTCGAATCCTCGGTCAGCTTGAACCCAGCCGTGCGTTCGGTGACGCTTTCTACAAGTGGAGCCGGGACGTCCAAGATACGATCAAAGCGAAGTTCTTTGGGCGCACTCCTCATCCTATGCTCAAGACGCCCCCCTATGTCACCGCCGAGCCTATCATTACTACCACCAAGATTGATCCCTCCAAGGGCGACTTTGTCGTCATGGCTACCGATGGTCTGTGGGAGATGCTGAGCAATGAAGAAGTCGTCGGCCTGGTTGGTCAGTGGGTTGAGCAACAACAATCCGCTGCGGCTGGCACAGGTAGCAAGGCTTGGTTACAGAGCTGGTTTGGGTTCGATAGTCAGAAGAAACTGCCCGTGGAGGCCGCAACCGACGGATCGACGGAAGGCCAACGGCGTCCCATCCGCCAGCAGCAATATGATATCTCTGGTGCGGCTACTCGATTTGTTGTTGAGGACAAGAACGCAGCAACACATCTTGTGCGGAACGCAATGGGCGGAAAGGACAAGGACATGGTGTGTGCGTTGCTGACGCTACCCAGTCCTTACTCTCGCCGATACCGGTATGAAAATCCTTTACATGACATTACTTTCTTTTTAACGGTCTGACTAATCTTTTCTAGCGACGATGTTACCGTTGAGGTCATCTTCTTTGGTCAGGGCCCTGATTCGCGCACTGTGGAGGTCAACCAGGAAGCGAGTGCCTCAGAACAGCCTCCGAAGTCAAAGCTTTAGGCGTTTGCTTGGTCTTTTCTTATTCGTGCACGAAATTTCTAAAGCATTTTGAAGGATGGCGGAATTTTTTTGATACGTTTTGCAATCTACTTTCTCCAGTGGGTTGTCACTACTGAATCTATGGCAAGGCCAACACAAGATACTAGGGAATAGTTTCTCCAATGTATAATGCGTATTTGCAATGTGCGTTGTATGCTTTTTACCGTCTTCGTATATGGTATACATATATGTACCGGATAATGCCTGGCACTTGAGACCTTTTTCCGTTTTAGTCCTCACCTCCTGCCGCTTTTTGATCACTCCCTATATTAATTCCAAGTGATATAACGTATTTCACTACCGAGTCGGCCACACCACCGAGTCGGCCACCCAATCTAACTTATGAATTTTAATTGCAATTATTTCAACGAAAACGCCATTAAATTAATTCAACTAACTAATCGGTCTATCTGGACAGGTTTCTCTTCTATGCCCTGGCAACCTGCATATTCCACACCCCCGGGGGGGGCGCGTACGTGGCCGAATAGCCGATTCTCCCTGTATATTGGCGCTGGGGGGAGGTGGTTCAACTGCTTCCCCCGTCTGTAAAATTAAAGTAGAGGCTTCTTGAACTGAGAGGCCTTCTTCGGAAGGTATATGCCTTCTAGATCGGGTGCGCTTTTGCTTCTTCTTCTCATTTTCAGCGCGTAATTCCTTGTTTTCTTTCGCCAGTAAGATAGCACCTTGCATTGTAAGACGGAAGCCCTTCATAAGCTGGTTTAATGCACGATCTGACGGGCTAGGCGGACTTCGAGATCTTGTACGAAGTAAAGCTTTGATTGACGAAGCCTGTCGACGTAGTTCTTTCTCTGTAGCTGGTGTTTTTGGTGTAAAATTCCGACTCGATTCGCTCCCCCGGCTCGGAGGGGGGGGTCGGTGTTCGAAGACGAATATTTAGCTTCGAGATCACTCGGTCGGGTGCAAAAGGTACTAAGCCAGCTGCTCCGAAGCTATTTTTAATAGTCTCTAATTTAAAGGCTTCAATTCGTGCGAGGGGGTATGCTTCGAGGAAGTCAAGTTTATCGATATGGTTAATCCCATTCCGCATTTTTATCTCAACTAGCCGACCATATGATCGTTTTAACACCGCAAAATAACCGATATCAAGAGGCTGTAAAAGATGAGAGGAGTGCGGAGGCATACAGATCGGTATAATATGATTTTTCTCGCATATTTCATCGAACTTTGGGGTTAAATGGCTTCCGTGACCGTCGAGTACTAGAAGTCGATACCTCCCCTTCGTACGTAAAGAAGTCGTCGGAATAAAGAGCCTTTCGAGCCACCGAAGTCCAATTTCATCGGAGGTCCATCCATTCGGACTAACTTCAAACCGCCAGTCATCTGGAAGGCCGTCGAACCAAGATTCGAGGAAGACTTTGCCTTTAAAAATCACACACGGAGGGAGGGCCCACCCCGAAGCATTCGTACACTCAATAGTAGTCACCCATTCACGATTTCCAGGTTATAAAACTGAGCGCCGACTAGAGAGTTCACTCCTCGTGATCACCTTCGCCGTAGCGATTAACCCTATCGCGAAACCAGTCTCGTCGAAGTTATAAACGTCATCGGGGTCGATTCCAAATTAAAGGATTATTTTTTAAATAAGATCGAACCACTCTCGAATGATTTTTAGGTCTTCGCATTTCGCGCGATCGTAATTATAACGTCTCGAGAACCGGGATAAAAGAAGAGGGTTTCTTTTAACGAACTTCATAACCCAATTTTCGCCGACCGAAAGAACCGGGGTAGTTCCACGCTGTTCGAGGAGAAGATTCGCCATTTCTCGTACAGTAGCATGGCGGGGGGCTACTCCACGAGAATCCATAGAGAGAATCCATTTTCGAAGAGATTCCTCCTCAACCTCTGTTAATTTATGCGAATTTGCGCGAGAAATCGCGCGGTGTTGAAGACCGCGTAGTCTGTCTTGAAGAGTTGAACGTGGTACGTTAAATCGGCGCGCCACTTCACGAATAGAAGAGATTTCTTTATTCTTAAAAGCCTGAATGGCTAAAAGAATCCTACCCTCTTGCTCTGTTGAATTTCTAGAGGTTTGGGAGCGAATTGGTGGCATAGTGGGTGGTTGAAGATAAAGGGTTAAAATTAATTGACGCGTTTTGGGTGGGGTGGCCGACTCGGTGGTGTGGCCGACTCGGTAGTGAAATACGTTAACGTATAAACTCTTAGTCTCTAAATAGACCTATCAATATGCGGTGTGAACCCAGCGCGACATTCGGATATAAAACTATCCTCCCAATCCGCAGACTAGGGCATCCCGACCGTGTAGAGTAGCGATTGCGACCTAAATTTTATAAAAGGCTTCTAGCGTGTAATACCGAGTACACTCCGAGACTCCCTCTTCTACACATAAGTAGATAGCTATAAAGAAGGAGCACTTTATTGCTCACCGGGAAAACGCCATGCACACCATTAACACATCGGCTGCGATGAAATGTTTCCTGGATTCTTATAGTCCACCGCTGATTATAAGTATTTCTCGGTTCTCCTGCACCTGCGTTTGAAGGATTTGAAGTAGGTGTATATCGTCGAAGGTGAGACGGATACACTGAGGGATGATGCTCGACTGATGACTATTATTGTGAGAAGTGAGGAATATTGTACATGAATGCGAGTGGACAAGGAGAATAATGTTACACAATGAGTCTCGAAACCAGTCGATAAACTATATGCATCCTGGACTGTCATTTCGCAGGCGGGTTGGACTGAATTATGCACTGTGACGACTGCTCCTATCCGAGCCGGCCCATAAAGTCTGTACCAGTCACCCAAAAGGCATGGGTTAATCAGGTCTGACATGGGCTTGCTTTCGAATTTCGGTGTGAATGTGGGCTTCATCCTGACGGAGTTCCGAAATTCATTTGGAGCCAGTGCGTGTTCGCAACACAATGATGGAGTATAGCCGAGCCACATCGATCAATGGCATGGGAAAGAGCCCGTGTCATTCCAAATGAAACGTTTCCCATGGATGGAATCAGCGCAAGTTTTTCAACTGGAAAGGGTCCTTATCACCCGGCTTCTTAAAAGCGATAGATTTTTCAATGAAGCGTTGCATTGTCACTGGTGAAAACACCTTATTGTCCAGTATCCAAGTCTGCAGCGTAGCAACGTTGGTACTGGTGATCCAGTAGAGCATAAGCGCAGCTGGCATCTCTTGAGTCCAGCTCGCAAAGCCAATGTAGCATGTCAAAACCACAACAAAGGTCCGTAACCCGGTGAAAGTGACCTGCTTATACATCTCGGTCTTTGGAAGCTGCTGGATTGTGTTCCAGGGCAGGACTTTCCACCCAATCAGAACATTCCCCAGAATCGACGCAGTCAGAAAAAGTGGCAGAACTCCTGTCGAGTCACCAGCCAGCAAATCAGGAAACCAGAGGGCGCCCTCATTCGCAAGAGTGGGCTCCATGGTTAAATGCAGAGATTGGGCTGCGGAGGCAGGGTCTTGCGACTCGATGAACGACGACAGCCAGGCAATGATGCCGCTATTCATGCCACTCATCCCGCGCAGACTCTCCATGAGCGCAATGAAAACAGGTATCTGCAGAAAGACAATTGCTTTGTGCTTGCCAGACACTCCCCAACGCTTATGAAGCTCAGCTGTTCGTTTGTTTATATCAAGCAAGACGTTTTTCTTTATTTGGGGAGTTGTTAAATTCTTATCGCCTATGGCCTTGTACTGAGACATATGTTTCTCTGTATATCTCTTCCCCCACGCGCTTAAAATTGGCGATATCTTTTTTTCGCGTTGGCGATGGAGTCGAGTATATAACAGGATGGGTAACCCGACAAACGTACGAACAAGTACGGCCGTTAGGGGAATCGAGGCAACCCATGGTAGACACGAGACATTGTGAACGCCGTGAATAAATGCGGCAGAGCCGTCCAATGCAAAATCGACGATGGCGGATGAGGCTGGTCTTGTTGGGTGGAAATGTCGAACTTGCGAGCGAGGCAATTGTATGGCTCGCATTAAATGCAGAGCATGTGCCGAGCGGATGGCATACATCACTCCGAGCGGGGTGAGAGAGATAGAAAATAAAATGTAGCTAGAAAAAGCGAAGCTATATGAGTCGCGGAACGGTAATCAGATGTTTGGAAAATCATCATGTGACACGTATGAGGGTCACTTCATTGGCCCGATTGATCAAACTTGTTGACAGCAAGAGAGGGGGAGCATTTTCTGACTTATTATCCAGTTTGACTTCAAATTCTTTTACTATGTGTGATTTCTGATGAGGTCTCTTTAATCATTGCCTTTTCACTATGGCCCTCTTATCAAACGCCATTCTGGCCGTTCTAGTCCTCACCGCCACGGCTGTCCTGCTTCCGAAGCTAACAGGTGTTCTCCTCGGTCTAGTATTTCGGGGAGTGGGTTGGCTGATATGGCGACGAACACGGTCTCGTCGGGAATATGTGATCGCGCGGGCGCGATCTGATGAGGAGGAGTTACGCGCCTCACGGCCGAAGGGTACAACAATTTCACCATCGCGGAACGGTGCCGAAGATGAGGATTGGGAGAAGGTGGATAGTTCAGGCCCAGGCGGGGTACAGACATCGACTGGTAGTGAAACCAGTGGAGTTACTAGCCAGGAAAGCAGCCGGAGTTCAGAGGACTGGGATGGGATTATCGGGTTCTTCCACCCATTCTGGTATGGCATCTCTATATATATCGAAACGCACAACGCTGACTAGGTGCTACAGCAATGCCGGCGGAGGTGGCGAACGAGTCTTATGGGAAGCAGTACGTGCAACACAGAAGCGCTGGCCGAAGGCAATCTGCGCTATCTACACAGGTGATCACGAAGTCAATAAAGCCACGATGCTGGAGAGAGTGGAGAACCGGTTCAATATCCACCTACACACGCCAACCGTGGTGCTCCTATACCTGACGACCCGCAAGTATGTTGTTAGTAGCTCATACCCTTACATGACGCTGCTGGGACAGTCGCTGGGGTCACTGGTTGTTGCGTATGACGCTTTTACGCTGCTTGTACCGGATGTTTTTGTTGACACCATGGGTTATGCCTTCACGCTTGCTCTGTGCAAATGGCTTTTCCCGACAGTGCCTGTTGGCGCCTATGTTCATTACCCGACCATATCAACCGACATGCTCGCCTCCCTTGACGACAAGAGTGGGGTGCAAGGGATCAATTCCGGCGCAGGGAAAGGGTGGAAAGGGAAAATCAAGCGTCGGTATTGGGAGCTATTTGCCAAGCTGTATGGCTGGGTCGGTCGACAGGTCGATGTAGTTATGTGCAACTCGTCCTGGACGGCGGCACACATTCGCACGCTCTGGGGCACCGGCAAGAAAAGCAGCAACAGCAGTGGCGACGGGACCGCATCATCGCCGGCGGTGGTGTTCCCCCCAACAGCAGTCACCGAACTACAGTCAGATATTGCCGTTGACATGGAGAGCGAAAAGACTCGCCTGCCCGTTCTACTTTACATTGCTCAATTCCGGCCAGAGAAGAACCACCCGTTAGTGTTGCGCTCCTTTGCGCGATTCTTACAAGAACGAACAAACAACCCAGCCTACGAAGGTCAACCTCTTCCACGTCTTGTGCTCATTGGATCCGTGCGCCATGCCAGTCCAGATGAAACCCACATCTACAATCTGCGCCTTCTGGCGCATGAACTCCGCATCCGCGACCATACCACCTTCTTGTGCGACGCTAGCTGGCCTGCCATGCTGTCCCATCTCAGTACCGCCTCGGTTGGCGTCAACGCCATGTGGAACGAGCACTTCGGTATTTGTGTCGTGGAGTACCAAGCCGCTGGTCTCATCTGTGTGACACATGACTCGGGCGGTCCACGTGAAGATATTGTCGTTGATTTGGGCGATGGTGCAACTGGATTCCGAGCTAAAACAGAAGAGCAGTTTGCTGCCTCTTTCGAGGCTGCCCTTGCTCTTCCAGAGGCAGAGAAACTCGCCATGCGGCAGCGGGCTCGTCGCTCGGCTCAACGGTTCACCGCAGAGGAGTTCTCCCGCAAGTGGCTGGATCAAGTACAAAAGCTTGTTAAGGCGTCGAAGGTTTAACTTTTGAGATATCCCCTCCTGGAAATAGACGAATGGCATTTTTATCTAGTTTAGTAGTTTGCCGAAAAAGAAGTGAATTCAAAGTCAATTCTAAGATAACAGCTCTTAAAGACTGCACTTAATTCGTAGTAATCGTAAAATAGAAATAGAAGATGTAGCTAAGTCTAAGACTCATGCATAAAAAAAGACACCTCAACTAGAGCATCTCAAGCCTTCTGACCAAAAACAAAGACCGCCTGCAATACAACAGATGACAATGCGAACACCATGGACTTCCCCTTTTAATCGCTATCGCTAGGCTCTTCGCCATCCGAGTCAGCTCCATCGCCGGTATTTTGAATACCTTCGGCCATGATATACTCAGTTTGCTGGAGAGTCTTCTTAATCTCATTATTGTTGAAAACCAGCTCCGCGGGCTTCTGACCATGCTTATTCCGCACTCGAGGATCACACCCAGCCTCACACATCATCTTGATCATGGCCTCACCCAGTTCTGCGTCTTTCTCGTTGGCGTACCGCACTGCGATGTGCAACGGTGTGTCCTTGTCCAGCCGGGTCAACGGGTCGCATTCGAAGAATTGGATATCAAACAACGCATCCATAGTATCATCTAATCACAAAAAAAAGAGGGTTAGCTTCTATAAGAGATGGGCATTGAGGAAGTGGCAAAGTAAACACGTACAGCTGCCGTACTGGGCACAGATGTGCAATGCGTGATTTCCCATAGAGTCTGTCACCTCATTGAAGAATTGTGCCACTTGCTCATTTGACTTGTCTTCCATGTCATTCAACACTTGCTCAATTAGGTGGGGTTGGTCCCGGCGGCAGGCTTCCACGACCAGCTCGCGGGGTGATGCGCCCTAAATCATAGCGGCATTAGCGTTGAACTTTAGCATGAGTCTGGTGCACAGGATTTACCTCGTCAGCCATCTCTGTATATGGGTTCACAAAGTCCGGAATACCCGAGAGTGAAGTCGGTAGTACAGGAATTGGTGCTCAGCTGTAATAGGACGTGAGGAGCTAGTTGTAAGAAGAGCCTGGCGTTTTGTATGGTGTTTTGGTGATCAGAACGAATCTTCCAAAATGAAATGAAGTGGAATGTGTATGTACAAGCTGGACTGTCGGATCAAACAGGCATTCAAGTTCCTGGGCAATACTACAGGTTATTGAAGTTGTTCCCCAGGCACATCCCACGCGCGGGCCGCCCGGATATATAATACTCCAGATTCCGTCTGAATTTAGCCGCGCGCCTAGATCTCTTATCAACGACGGTGATGTTCTGCACCTAATAGGGACTACGTTATACAGCTGCTGAGAACCTAACTTTCTCCTCATATAGCTATCTGACACTTTCCTAACCTTACCCACCGCATCCTCCAGCCAGATCATTAAGATGCTAGTCTGTATGTGCTATCTCCGTGTTAACGGTATCCAACGATGGTCCAGAACAGAAACTGACTCCTCTCTCTAGTCTGTCCTAATTGCAGCAATGCACTCACCATTTCTAAAGCGGACTCAAGCACAAGATTTCCTGCGGGTGTGAACCGCTTCGAATGTCGCGTCTGTCCCTATGAAGCTCCGCTGGACAAGAACTATTTCGAGAAGAAAGATATGAAGCAAAAGGAAGTGGACGATGTCTTTGGTGGCAAGGAGGAGTTTGCCAATGCTGACAGTGTTGGAAGTAAGTTGTTTCTGTTATCTTCTCTCAGAAGTGACATGTCCGTCGAGATATACAAGGCTGACATGCTCTCTTTTTTTTTACTTGCAGCTCAATGCCCCGCCGAAAGCTGCAACGGGGAACGTGCGTACTTCTTCCAGCTGCAGATTCGTAGTGCAGATGAACCGATGACTACATTCTTGAAGGTATGTTTCCCTCCTTACGTTCAACGTGAGGTACCCGTCTCTGACAGCTTTAGTGTACCTCGTGTGGTGCTCGGTGGAGAGAAAATTAGAATTGGGAGACAAGGCTGAGAACAAGTCACTTGGATTTATTTTTGCTTTTATTTTTATTACAGCGAGGTGCAAATGGTGCATTTACTAAGTATTTTGGAGGGGGGTTGGATGTAACTCCAAACTATCAAGCTGATACGATACCCAAATTGATCGACGCCACAGTTCAGTGCGCAGATTATTTTACGATCAGCGGAAACTTTTTTCGGTGGAACATGGATCTAGTTTTTATGCATTTTGTATTTTATATCATATTTTATTGCGGTTGTTAGTATTCTTTGTACTTTTACTTGTAGATACAATTGGTCTAGTACAGATGTAGACCCCGACATTTATCATCGTCGGCCAAAAAAAGAAAGAAAAAAAAATTTCTATATGCATGACATTGTTGGTGGGATGATTTGGCGGTGAGAATGTTGCCCCTCACCCGCGGGGCTCTCAGAGGCAAAAGGGAAGAAGAAAAAAAGTGAAAAAAGTGAAAAAAATGGATTGACACACCCAATCGCCACAGTAGGCAAAAAAAAAAAAAGGAAAATACACAGAGTAAACAATGCAAACCAGAAGATTATCACCCAACCACTCTGCGTTGCTGCCCAGTTCAAGCGTTTAGAGCCACAGAGTGGGCTGGGACGGAGCCGATGAAAAAAAAATTCGCACCGAGTGGAGTGCCGTGGCAGGACAAAACCTTGGAAACGGAAGGATGTTTCAAGCAAAGAAGTAGATAGTACATTAAAAGATAGTAGAGAATGCATACAATAGTAAGTACCTATACATCATCCTACCAACCCACATTGCAAAATCTGCGTGCACGGGTAAGGGCTAGAGCCAATCAGCAACCCTAACCAAAAATGGCTTGGCCCCACCTGCTGACTCGCCTCGCTCGCTTGCCCCTCCATATAAGGATTTCCCCTCCTCCCCCTCCCACAAACTTTTCTTTCTTCCTCTCGTCTGCTACAGTGAGTTTTTCCTGACCCCCTACTGCTTTTAAAGCTATCCCTCCTCCGACTCTTTACTGATTTCATTTGCTCAGTACCTCTACGCGTTCTGCCGTAGTCTCTGAGCAATTTTTCCACAGATTTTTTCTAGTATCTTACAAAGAACTACAAAAAGTTACAACCGTCATCATGGGGTATGTGATCACAAATTCACTCTTCCAAGAGAACCGAGACTGACTTCAAAACAGTAAGGAAGAGCGTAGCCACATCAACATCGTCGTTATCGGCCATGTCGATTCCGGCAAGTCCACCACCACTGGTCACATGATCTACAAGTGTGGTGGTATTGACCAGCGTACCATCGAGAAGTTCGAGAAGGAGGCTGCTGAGCTCGGAAAGGGTTCCTTCAAGTACGCCTGGGTTCTTGACAAACTCAAGGCTGAGCGTGAGCGTGGTATCACCATCGATATCGCCCTCTGGAAGTTCCAGACCGCCAAGTACGAGGTCACCGTCATCGGTAAGAGACTTTCCCAATTAACTCTGTTGGTTGCATACATACTAATTTCTTCATCACAGATGCCCCCGGTCACCGTGATTTCATCAAGAACATGATCACTGGTACCTCCCAGGCCGATTGCGCTATTCTCATCATCGCCTCCGGCACTGGTGAGTTCGAGGCTGGTATCTCCAAGGATGGCCAGACCCGTGAGCACGCTCTGCTTGCCTTCACCCTCGGTGTTAAGCAGCTCATCGTTGCCCTCAACAAGATGGACACCTGCAAGTGGTCCGAGGATCGTTACAACGAGATTGTCAAGGAGACCTCCAACTTCATCAAGAAGGTCGGCTACAACCCCAAGGCTGTTCCCTTCGTCCCCATCTCCGGATTCAACGGCGACAACATGCTCGAGGTTTCCACCAACTGCCCCTGGTACAAGGGTTGGGAGAAGGAGACCAAGGCTGGCAAGTCCACCGGAAAGACCCTTCTCGAGGCCATTGACGCCATTGAGACCCCCGTCCGTCCCTCCAACAAGCCCCTCCGTCTTCCCCTCCAGGATGTGTACAAGATCTCCGGTATTGGCACAGTTCCCGTCGGTCGTGTCGAGACTGGTATCATCACTCCCGGCATGATCGTCACCTTCGCCCCCGCCAACGTCACCACTGAAGTCAAGTCCGTTGAGATGCACCACCAGCAGCTCAAGGCCGGTAACCCCGGTGACAACGTCGGCTTCAACGTCAAGAACGTTTCCGTCAAGGAGGTTCGCCGCGGTAACGTCGCTTCCGACTCCAAGAACGACCCCGCTGCCGGATGTGACTCCTTCAACGCTCAGGTCATTGTCCTGAACCACCCCGGTCAGGTCGGCGCTGGTTACGCCCCAGTCCTCGATTGCCACACTGCCCACATTGCCTGCAAGTTCGCCGAGCTTCTCGAGAAGATCGATCGTCGTACCGGTAAGGCCACCGAGACCTCCCCCAAGTTCATCAAGTCCGGTGATGCCGCTATCGTCAAGATGGTTCCCTCCAAGCCCATGTGTGTTGAGGCCTTCACCGACTACCCCCCTCTCGGTCGTTTCGCCGTCCGTGACATGCGCCAGACCGTTGCCGTCGGTGTCATCAAGTCCGTTGTTAAGAACGCTGGTGGCGCTGGTAAGGTCACCAAGGCCGCTACCAAGGCTGGTAAGAAATAAATGATTCTCGGATGATGCTCATTATGCCGTGATGATTTTTTCTTTTCAAAAACAATTACTGGATGGAAGGTAGATTTGCTGGTTAGTTGCTCAAAATCACTACCCACATTTTTATGACTCAAGTCAATTTATTCTCTTTTTTCCTCGTAAACTTTTGTAACAGCGTAGACAATGATCTGTAAAATAGTTTATCAACCCTTGGTAGTGTTGTCTCACCATGGGTGACTTGTGTGTGAACTCTAGTTCGTGTGTGGCATGCCTGGGTTGCTGGGCATGTACACAGTATACCCATGTATACTACGTACTACGTACCTTCTGTTAAGACTAAACAATATTTGTTCCCAAGTCACATATCTCATTCAACTTTCGACTATCCATAATTCATTATCAAACTTCAATTCCCCATTCCCATCTTGTAACTCCATATATCAAGCGATATCAAGGACTCCCACCATCTTCAATCTAGGGCCTAACTGTAGACTAATTCCATCCTAATTCGAAGGACTATTCCAGATTTGTCTCTACAGACTCGATCTTGGTCAATTGCCGACAAGGCATCTGATCGGCCGGAAACATATATTTTGTCATTTTTGTACATACAGTTGTTAAAACATATACATGTGTCTAACGAAGAGAAGTTCCAATGAATGAACACCGATTTAAACCATGATCATTGAAGTGACTAATAATCAGAACGCATGGCGCTATACATTAGGCTCTTAGGTACATATATATTCAAGCCAACCTCGATTTCCATCTTAACCTCAACTTAGGTCCATCTCCAAATCGAACCCAATCTAAACATACGAACTTGCGCTCGAGCTCTTGTGGAGTTGGCTGTGGTTATAACGACATGGGAGGTAGTCGTGGTCGTGGCCATTGGCAGAAATGTAGTGGTTGGAGTTGTTTTAGAAGAGCTAGTGGTTATACTAGTGTTCGACGAAGTGACAATTGAAGTCCCACACAAGGTAGACATGTCATGCTGGATTGATGCACAGTAGGAGAGAGATTTTTTTTCCCATTCATTAAGCCAATACGCCTTCCGAGGCTTCATTTCCAAAGTTGATAATAATATAGGTTCCCGGGGGCCATCGCAAGAGTGGCCCTGTGATCGGCATCACTAACCTACATAGGTATAGGGTACTTTCTGAACAAAGCAGGAATGACGTTTGAAAGATAAGTTATAAAAGTTCGCTTTCTTACATATCGAACCTCTCAAACTATCTTTCATATTCATATCTTGTAGCTACATAGATATTAACCGGGGTGTACAGCGCGAAGGTTGCGGGATCTAGATTTTTATCGCCGAAATCCCCAAGCTCCGGGGAGTGGGATGGCAGGGAAAGGTCGGGGTTTGAATTCATGGCCGATAATACAGTTTATATATATTTGAGAGAACAGAAAATATGAGGTCTTTGGGCTCTACCAGTGAGATTGAGAGTATTGCTTCTTTACTTGACAAGGAGTGGATGGAAAAACAGGCAATGAAGGATCACATCTCGTCCGTCTAGCGCCTTCGAACAACTTTGCGGGGAAGAGCCTCAATGACATCGTCACAAGATATACCAGATGGACAGGGAAGAAACACCCCGTGATGATGTAGGGGTAAGTGGAGACCTGTGTTGGTACCCTTCTGCCTTTCTAGCTGCCACGAGCAGCGAGTGGAAGAAGCATGGGATATTGTTTACATACGCGGATACTGAACAGACGGATTTCCCTATGGACAAGTTTTTCTTTCTCCCAACAGACGGGTATATGATGCTTTCTAGCATTATATTTGGCGATGAAGAATGTGCTCGATGCAAGAATGAATTCGCCATTAAGCATAATGAGCCCTGCTCCTGACTGCTCGGAACCGAGTACTCTAGGGCTACCTACATTGTACCTTGGATATCCCCGGCCACCACTATAGCCGAGGAAATCGATATCATGCGAAGTCATTGTTAATTGCAAGCTTAGAACCTTATTCGCAGTAGCGATGATCTCTTAGAATTCTACATCTAACTATTTATCTCCAGGCCAACTAGATAGCACTTGCAAAACACGAATAGCTATGGGTTGCTGGGTGATCAAAATGAGAAACCGTTTAATACATAGCTAATTTATGCTATTCTCTCAATGTGACTTTATTGTAAGACTGCGCCAAGCTAGAATAAATGACAAGCTAGAATATCTGAGTTCGAGAGTTGACTCAACCCCAAGCTAAGCGCAGAGAAGTTCCACAAGAATTGGCCCCAATCAAGGACTCAGCTCAGCACTCCCGGATTTTGAAACGCCCAAGAGTCTACAATGCGCTATAGTCTACACCGTACATTTTCAAACTATAGAACAAAGATTAAAAAGGCGAATGTTGGTCAAATGTACCTGACTGACCTATCGTATCCTGGGTATCAAGTTGCAGATACCTACATGTAGTAAGTATCCCTACGTTATCATGGCGTGCCAATCAAACAAATATAAATCAATCATTCTTCCTCATACTCCTCAGAGCCAGACTCTTCCTCCTCTTCCTGATTAGGATCACGCCTCGAAGACCGTCTAGGCCCCGAGCTCCGCGATGCCTCACGCCCCTCCCCGTTTCCATTAACCTGGACATCCCCATCCACATCGCTAGCACCATCCACCCCACTAGCTCGTACTGTGGCCGGCTCAATCCCAAGACTCCTTCCAAGCTTCGCTTCAAAATCCTCGAGGTCTTCCCTCTGGAGTTGAGTCAAGTTCTCATGATCACCTTGATTCTTCCCATAAACAGTTCGCACAAGACCGGCCACACCACCGGTCCCAACCTCGATTTTACCCCGCGGTCCAAGAACATACTCGATGACCTCCTCGCCGCCATCCATCTCCCGCGTCTTGATAATGTACCCCTCCTTGCATAGCCGCTGCAGCAGTTTATCCGTGCGGTCGATCGGTGTAGCAACCTCGGCATTTGTGCGCGCTAGGTACCGGTCAAGTTTCTGCTCAGCCAGCGTACCGCCATTCAGCACAATCAACGCTATAATAAAGCTGTATAGGCCCGTGTATGTGCTTTCGGTGTAGAGGGAGGGCGCCTTAGTCGGAATGAGGATATCGGGGGAACGGTATGCGAGCGGCAAGGTGCTAGTAACGATCCAGGACTTATTAGCCGAGGAGGGTTTTTCTGTTTTCTGCGCGGCTGTTGTACATAATGTCAGTAGTGATTACTTGGGCATAGCGTGAATCTGCAACAAAGAAAAGCAAGATGGAATCCAACTCACCTCGTCGTTGGCTAATAGTGACTTTCTCTCGCGCCGGTAACTCGGTCATTTCCATACCAAAGCGCTGCTTCAGTATCCCCTGCGCCTGCTCGAAAACTGACTTGAACTGCCGTGAACCCTGCTCGCCCAGCACCTTGGCGCTAATGTCGTTGCGCCGGATCGGAAGCCGCGAGTACTCGCTTGCTATGGCGAGCCGCACCATTTTCTTGACCATTGCATCGGTGCTGGTCGGTGCGCTTGGTCCGTCATCTTCACTATCTGTTGCGGGTGAATCAGGTTCTTCGCTTTGTCTTCTGCGCCGACGCGCGCTTGGGGTCGACTCGGTCTCGGATGCGTTGGTCTGGGGATGGAGGTTAGTTGGTAGATAACCCGAGTGGATTTGGGCTTGCGTACCCGTCTTTTGCGGTTTGATGGCATTTTTATTATGTGGGTATGGTGATGAGTTGCTAATAGGTTTGGGGTGACGCGACGCGATAGAACTATTTTACCCCATCGGGGCTGGTCTGTGCGTGGCCCTTATCAATGGTTCTTTGTTCCACGCAGATGCGTTTTGAGGTCAGTCTTCTTATTTTAGAGGTTCTTTCGAGGATAGTCTTTGATAATTTATTGAAGAAAGAACCTGTTTTGCAATATCTCCATACATAGAGGGTTATGTGTCTATTAAATCCAATGAATTAGCGTTGAGTTACATACATCGATAGACCTGGGAAAAGCGAACTAAATACAACGGGGGCAACGCAACACACAGAGAGCAGCGATATGGTATTATTTTCTCTAATAAAAAAGTAAAAAACAAAAAAAAAAAACGCCCCAAAAGCTTAAAGAGATCTGAAATCAGTTGCTGTTCTTCTCATTGACAACCTCCTTCGCTTCCTCCTTCTTAGACTGGAGGAAAGCGCTAGCCCAAGCCAACGATTCCTGCGACAGAACCAAGCTGGTAGTGACAACAGCCTTGCCCGAAGCAAAGACACCATCGCCACCGCACTTTTTGTACTCAGAGCCATAGATATCGTAGACATGGTGCTTGACATCACCGGCGACGCGGACGGGTAGGGCGGCACTGCTGTAGATAGAGCCGCGCAGCTTCTGAGTGTCCTCCTTGATGATAGGGAAACGGGTGTCGATCTGGGTCAGACCCTTGTCACCGAGGGAGTCGGCGCGGGCGAGGTAGGGGGCGACATAGCTGTAGGGAGTGGAGAAGTAGGGTAGAACGGGTTTGGCGAGACGGGTGTAGCCCTGGTCGGCGAACTCGAGGGACTTGGCTCCGTAGGGGTTGCCCTTGTAGTAGGAGATGGAGTCGGAAACAATGGGGTAGGAAGTAAGATGCTGAATTAGGGCATATTTAGTTAGTCTGGGCTAATTCCGGCTCTAGGTTCGCTCTTTGGCGTTGAGCTGTAGTGGGGGTGTACATACGTCGAGGAACTGAGAGTAGTGCTTCTCGCCGTTGACAACCGGTTCACCCATTTTGTTTTCTGCGTGGGGCATGAGAATGATAATATGAGTATGAATTAGAATAAGGATTTAGAAGGAAAAAAAAGAGAGAGAGAGAGGAATATATTGGGTTGTATAGAAAAATAGGTTTTTCACATGTGATTGCGCTGTCATTATGCAATGGGTCCAACCGCAATCGCATCATTGCAATACCAAGTATTCTCGGTTGGTTATTTTAATTGGCTATGTATTTTAGCTCTCTGCTTTAGATTTTTTTTCTTCTTTCTGTCTTTTCTTTTGGGAAAACGGTTCAGCAGCCTCAAGCCACTTTGGTCCCAAAGTGATACCCCCACGCCAATGCGCCATTGACTTTGGACACTGCAAACAGTCAGCGCAATTGAATTCCAAGGTTCGTATGGCTAATTATAGCTACATATGTAAGTATCAAATATATTCTATTCTATACCAAATATACATTGAATTGCAAATTTTTTCGAAAAATACCACATGCAATCATAAGTGAATTTGTGATAAGCTGCTTTAGCATGTGATTGCGGGTCTGATGCGAAAACGCCGTGTGGTTCCACTTGTATGATCTTCTACATCTATTCTGTCTCTTATAGAGCTTCCAAGTTTTCCTATTATATTCTAAGCTTCCCAAAGGTTCGATATCCCCCATAATCTATTTCAAATGAAAGATGACTTTGCATGATAAACCTTGTTTTCACACCCGGGGCCGTTTCACCGTTTCTCGTTGGACAAACCTGCTTATCTACGTCCTATAATAAAACCGCCCAGACAGTGGCGGCATATGGTTGATCGGGGCCGGCCAGAATATGACTGACGTTTCGGCTTCTAGCTTATGCGAGTCTAGGCCGTCTGCGCCTACATTGGTTATGCTAGTGATGTACCCACCCGTTGGCCTGAGCGTTGGCCCCTTGTACCCTCGCCGGGAATACGCAACGGCTTCCGGTGCAAATATAGGAGGGGGCAAAACATTGCGCAAGGTCCTGGGCGGATTGAATATCGTTCTCCCGGCCCCGGGCGTGCGACGGGCCAAGGGATCTGTAAATTCATCCGAATCTCGGCGATTGATGTGACTATGAAACGACTATAGTACTATGGTCGTACTATATCTATTAGTCCGGTCAGTTTAGGTGGTTAGAATGTATCTTGGCACTTATCCAGACCTTGTGTTCCTTGGCTAGGGAATTACAGAAATGATGTTCGGTTCGACGATCAGGGACTGACGCGTGGTGTGCTAGTTTGTTTTGGTGATGCTTGAAGAGAAACTCATTTTTGCTGCTATTGGGCGCTGAGACAGTGAGCTATCATAGGACCTTAAAGTTGATATATCCAGGTGTGTTCTGCCGACGTAAATTAATAAGCTGGCTCTACGTCTGGCCATAGGCTGCAAAATCACCTGACGACGAATCCAACCCCGCTTTTAGCTAAGAGGCAAGTCAACGTGGACCCTTTCGTGTATCCTTGATATATCGCGTGGTAGTCTGGATATGGCATTCGCCTCCTGTGATAATGAAAAACCATGGACTTCAGGTGGGCCATAATACAGGATCAGATTTCCATTCTTCACTGGGTAAGTAAGAAACAACCATTTACGTGGGTAAAATTCACTGACAGCTCACAAGAATACATAACAACCACTGGAGGTGGTGCCAACTTAGCGGGAGATATCAAAGCATGCCGCGACATACATATAAGTAAGAAAAGAGCGAACGAGGTGAAACTCTAGTTGCTAATCAATCAAAAATGAAAGATCTTACTGGCACACCCACACCTCAAGGCCTAGCTGGGCATAAACGAGCAAGAGATAACAGTTCCGAAGAGCCTTCTAGCTGCCTAGACGAGCCTATAAGTAAAAGACCTCGCCAGGACGACGATAATGATTCCTTCTCTTCCGAAGGAAGCGATTTTTGGAGAGAGGTTGATCTTAGACTGGAGAGGTCTCAGAACGCCCCGGAGTTATCGCAACTGACTTGGAATACTGAGGATCATGAAAGCCCCCTAGATAGACTTGTCCATGAGAGATATCAGGGTGGCAAAGGCGTATCTTCTTCGGAGGAATATTCGGAGAACGAAGGGGTCGAATTGTCGGACAATGACTCTGATTCTTTGGGAGATGAGCAACTTTCGGATTCTTTCAGTAGCTCCGAGGAAGATTCAGAGCAAAGTGTGGATTAAGATCCGCAATCTTTTAATAAGTTTCTTACAAATAAGCAAGTTCGTGTGATGAAGATCCTGGATGATGTGAACAATGCTATCATTGAACTATTAAGGAGATGCATTTATGGACATGGAGAGTAGGTAAACTATTTACTGTCCAATCAACCAATCTAGTTAAATAGCGAATAGCAAACTACCCTATTAACCAGGATTATGGTGCTGAATCCTCAACATCATATAACAAGTATCTAGACAGGGCATGGTCTATACCACCATATTACGATAGCTGTATTTCTACCATTGTTTATTACCGTACTGTGATACTGCCAAGAATTAGGTTCATGTATAGAGTAACTGTAAATGGGATGGCGCCATGCAAAAATTAAAAAGATGATTTCGAGCGCGACTGTAGCCGGGGCGGCGATGTTTTTTTTGGCCTATTTTTTCCCTTTCACTTGGGCGAACAGGATCGCGGCGATCAATTGATAATGCACTCGATTAGGCTACTATGCAGATCCTTGTATAACGTGGGTCTTGACCAGCATGGTTGTCTCAACATCTACAAAATACGACCCCTGTTTCGTCTGTTCCTAAATGATTCCTGCCCAGAAACTACGTATGTATACATCACTGCTCTCGGAGCTGTTGGGATATGCATGAGAAAGTTTCGTAGTGGGAAAATCCCTTCCGATTCAGATGGCAAGCACGCCACTCCCTTTTTACTTTTAACGTACAATTGAGTCTAGAAATCCAGTGAGAATATCTCAAAATACTCCGGTTGGCGGGCTCGGCATACCTCTCTAGCCGGGGAAGTGGCGTCTCGGTTAGCCTTACAAACATTTAGCAGAGCAGAGGCCCGTGACCCGCTGTTAATAGAGTGCGAAGGTATCCATTTCACATGCGAAACTGAGCTGTCATCTAGCGTTGGCGCTCTCGATATGAAGGATTCAATTATGTTGCCTTGGAGATTGGGATTGGTTGACTCAGGTGATCACATGAAATGTTTTTTTGTCAATACAGTGCCTATGCAGGGCTTGGTCCAATGATACATAGGCATTCAATTGTGATCAACTGTGCTGGGAACTAACGCCCTCGAAGCGCTTTGCCCTTGGCTTGGCAATTGTTAGCCACATCGACCCGGACGGAAAGTACCATGTCAACTGTGCCAAGGAAATTAGCTCTCGGAGGTGATGGCACGCATTAGTTGGTGTATTTCATTATCGCGTTGTCTGAATCGCGCCACCTAGAAGAAACCCTGAGTTTCACATATTCTTGATACTATCATATAATTCATCTGAAAACCAACGGGCCATTGCATAGCTATGCGCTCCGAATATAATAGCATAGCAAGATTCATTGTTCTGGGTATGGATCTCGTTCTATATTCCCATCTTCAACATGATAGTTCCAATATGGCTTTGGTAGTCTGCGTCTTCACATCTAATGTGGATTCTATCCAACACCTGTGGTACTTTAAATATCGGCCCTACTCTTTACGGCTTATTTCTTTTAGTCAAATCCTACTGCGTACTTCTTAGATATCACATTTTTGACAGAATTAACTCAACAATAGACTGCATATAAAGTAGATATATACTTGGGGGAAGGGGGAAACATACTCTAGGCTAGAAGAACAAGACAGCACAACATAAACCACAAGATGCTCATAAGACCTCGGGATAATATCTACCATCCACGGTAGTTATTATACGCATCTTCAAGAACCGAAGGGGTCTCGGAAGTATGGAGGCATCGCAGTGGACTTGTCATACTGCTCATTCTTGCATTTGTGGACATGTCCCACTATTTCAGAAACATACGATCTTGTAGGCGTTGCGACAAGTTCATCATAGCTGAGGTAGAGCGTGATCGACCGCGGCGAGCTGGAGGCATATCATCTTGCTGGGCCCCTTCAGGGAGGCACATGAACTCCAATGGAGCGATATAATGGTGTGCGTGCTCCGGACCAAGAATAGAAAGATCCTCGCGGCTGATTGGACCAGGAGGTAGAGACATATTCCAAGGAGCAATAGGATCTTCCCCGGCAGGAATGTGGAAGGGTCCTTTAAGAATAACGTCAAAGGGACCAACGATGAGCGAGTCCTGCTGGAGAACCAACTTCCAAAGATGCCAGAAGCTCGTGTCAATCATGTGTCGGCCTGTGTTCGCACGGATTCGCCAATAACACAGGAATTCGTTAGTCTTGATTCTCACCTCTGCGGCCTGGAAGGGCGGGACTGGAACCTTGTGAAGGAATCTCTCGGGCAGATCGGCTATGTCCTCGAACTCATTCTGGACCAGCATCCATATTTCCCTGTAGTGTTCTTCGAAGAACTCCGTCCACTGTGGACTTACGTCGCTGTCAGCTAGTCCTGCGGACATTTCCCAGATGAAATATTCAGCGTTAATCCACTTGTCGATACTGACCCTTACCTTTAGAAGCGAAACATTGTCGCGGCACACGTTGCAGCGCATCAGGACACGAGGCTTGGTTCGCACGGCTACCATGGGCATGTTGTAGTGGCGATGAACCTCATTGTCCGCCCATTCCTCGCCGGCGTCCTCGTGGATAATATCAAGCGGAAAGGACATGGTTGGAGAACCAGGATGACTGGTGATTGACTCGTAGTTTAATAAGTACCCAGCTCGTGCTTGGGTAGTTGAGTGAAATAATAGCTCAGTAGTGATCAGATGATATGGGCTGAAGCCGGTGAAGGGTCATGCAGGTGGTTTATATGATTACTATGTATGGATTGCATGAACTATGAATGAAAGGTCATAATCTAAGGCCGTGGAGACCATGATAGAAAGAGGACAATGAAGATAAAGAATGCGTTACTCTTATCCCGAAGATTATATCGAGAATATCATTCAAAGACCATTGTCCTCTTGTTTACTAGCGAGAGTGGGAGCAGGGTGTGCCAATTGTCCACTGAATGAAAGGCGCTCTTTGTCTGGATTGTACGTAGATGAGAACGCTGTAGGACGCCAGAGCCTTCAAAGCTGCAATGCCATCAGGGTAGAAGTACATACATCGATGCTGCATATGCTAGAAATAAGTTCAAGTTTGAATATGCCAGTGTTAACGTATTTTGCAAGCGCTGATGCCCATATGGCTAAGGCACGAGATATCTTGGCGGGGGTGGGGTTCACATATGGTATATGGACTGGAATGTGGAAGAGAATCCATATAGTGCATAGATGTGAGGACCTAGACCAACCTTTGGGGAATTTCTCGACATCAAGTTAGAGAAGGCTGGGTCTTCTTTGGAAACAATAATGACCTACTTAGGGACGAAGGCATCTAGCACGGCCGTCCAGGATAAAAGCACCATCTTTTTGAAAACTACGGTTGCGCATTACAGATTGGCATGGATCAATTGTAGCAATGACACCATTGGATTGGAGGACCTGGGACAAACCACATAGCTACAAGGCCATCCACTGACGTGGGGATGATCTGTGTTGAGATGACAGACCAAAATTGCCCCCGGCCTATGGGAAAGAGGAAAATGTCGACCATTGCTCAGGTAATAGACAACATTGATTTTGAAATAATTGTTCATTTTCCATTTCATTCAGACGGACACCAGGTATGGAAGTGGCGTCCCCGTTAAAACTGGAGTTCATCGATACATTCACGAATCTGTTTCCAGCCATGGTGTATGTTTTCCCATCCCATGCTCGCAGGGATCGAATGTACTCGATGGTTTTTCGACCTCGCCTTCACCTAGACCCGTGCGCTCAAAACGACAAAACGCCCAAGTAAACCGTTTAGAAACCTGTTCTGGAGTATTAGTGTCAAGTTTCGAAGGGAATACATAATACATATATGTATAGTGGGCCAAACGTACGCAGGGCAGTGAAGAACCAACGGTTCTTTCCGCTGGTGTAACGGTCCTCAAGGGCCTTCTTGATGGTCTTCTTGGCGTCCTCGCGCTGGGAGACCTCCTTGAAGGTGTCGTTGGTGACGGTACCCTTAAGACCCTCGAGCTCGAGAGTGTAACGGGTGGGCATCAAGTGGTTGTAGTTGACGACCTTGATGAAAGGCTTGATGCGGCTGCGGCGGTCGACGAGCTTCTTGCCCATACCACGGGTAACCTTGAGGGGGTAACGCTCGATACCGGCGACAATGGCGTAGGAGAAGGGGTGCGACTTGGAGCCAGCTTCAACGGGCTGGACAATGACGACCTGTAAAGTCGAAGAAAAATGCCTGATTAGCACTCCGAATTTTTTTTCAAATTGTTGCGCAGTCCTCCATATTGCGTTGTGCTCTTTCAAATATCGAGTCTTTCGATTCCAGTTCGCTTCCTTCCATTCTTCTCGTGCTCAATTCGGGGAGGATCAGGATCTTGTCGTACCTTCTTACCGGCGTAGCGGCCACGGGTGATGATGGCCACACGGCCCACTTTCATGACTGTAAAATATCCGTCAGCATATAGATCGCAAGGGGAGTCGAATGGTGAAGACGTACACTTCATTTTGAAGGTCCCGGGGGCGGCGAGGATGGGTGGTTGTCGAGATACGGAACGGTCAAGATCGAAGTGTTCGTTTTTGCGGATGTGAGGTAGAGGGTTTCAGGGCACAGTAGCGATTTGTGTGCTGTGGATTGATTGGTTGACTTACCGACAGATGGCGACTAGTGTGCTTTCGGACAGTTTCCCCATTGGGCCCGGATTAAATGATGACATAATCGATGTGTCGGCCCAGCCCCTTCCAACCTTGGAAAGTTGGTGCCCAGCGTTGCTCACCGCCTTGTTGCCGCTGACTCAGGTTTTGTTTACATGACGATCGTAGTTGCCCCGGTTGCTATGGCCGTGAGTGATGTGTACAAGGCGTAGTTCCTCTCTCTCTCTCCAGACAATTCTCATTCTCCACTTGCTTTTCTCTTATCAAGCTGATCTCCCGGTGATTTTCTTTCCTCCACCGAGTTCTGAGATTGTTGGCTTTTGCTTTGTTCTTCCAGCGTTTCCTCCCTTGTGTTGATATGCCTTGATGACCTTGCTTCTATTTTTACTTTGAACGCATTCTACACATACCCTACATACATTCCATCCATATTGTCAATACCTCTCTGAGACATCTTGACAATCCATTCACGAAGACATCATGCCGTCCCAAGACAAGGACACCGCCCGTGACCGGGAATTGGTCCGGCATTCAATGACATACTCCGAGTCTAAAGTTCCAATGTAGGTTGTGCAACTAACGCCTCCTGATCCTTGTTTTGACGGACCCCATGGGTGATTTCAAACAAATGCTAAAACGCGGCCTACGCAGGTGGGACAGCTCGGATCCCGAGCGTGCGCCTCCGCCGCTACCAATGAATCCTCGTTCGATGAGCCCAATGAGCCCTGCGACGAGGTCCAATGTTTCTCCCAATATTCAGGCAGTGGCCGCAAAATTTACAGAGAGACCCAGTGAGCATGCACCGAGCTCTTACACAACAAATCCCATGCCACTGAAGTCTTCCTCTCCAGAGAGGTCGTTGGTCAAAGGCCAGCATCACAAGCGCATGCAGTCACTACAGCCTGAAGATACCCGACAAGATGCGCGCAGCGACTTTATGAATTACCTCGAGAACAGATCCCCAGAGCGCCCTCTTCGTGCGACGATCATTGAGGCGGCCAAGCCACGCGATCCTACCAAGTCTATCAGTTCGCCAGCGCTTCGTCAAGACGCAGACCGGGAGATGAGCTACTCCCTGTCGAGTCGGTACTTATCAAAGCCAATATTGGGAGAAAGTACTCCGCCATCAGCTACAATGTTAGCCCTGCAAAACATGCAGCTACCTTTAGAACCCGACCCTCCATCACCTTCCAAACCACCAAAGATGATCGCTGCGCCGTTAGAGCCGCAACCACATCCCACCAAGACTACGAGCATGGATACCCTTTCAAATCAAATCCACAGTCTCACGGACATTGCGAGCGGCTTGCAACGTGAGATGATGAATTTGAGCCGACGAAGCAAAGATAATGCCACCGACTTGGTCAGCCTCAAGGCGGCAACCAACGCACGCGACGAAGACATTCGCAAGAGTCTTAAGGACCTGTCTTCTCATCTTACAACCAAGTATCTGGATGCTGATGCTACAAGGTTTGATTTCAGCAATCCTTTCAAGGGTGGTGATGGGTCTAACCCCAAGGATCCGGATAGTCCCGTTTCGAAGAGAAGCTACTCCGTGCCTCGCATGCCGAGCCCCAACCCATTCGCGTTTGATAGGGACTCTTGTGTCTCGCCTGCACCGATTTCCGACGGGTCCGCAGCCCTCGCTTTGCTCGAAAAGGTATTGCGCGAGATGGCAACCAAGGAAGGCGAGGAAAGGCTCTTGGATCTCGTTCAAGAAATCAGGTCTCGACCCGCAGCTACCGCTTCCGACAAAGATGCCGATGACAAGATCACTGTCATGCTTGAAGAGATCCTCAACCTCGTCAAAGAGGATCCCGGGAGCAAAGCGCTCGTCCGATCTTACGGCATGGCTGCTAATCTTGATAATATCGAATCTGGGAATGTCTCCCCCGAGGCGACACGATCTGGTTCGATGAGATCAGTGGATCCCGAAATTGTACGTGCACTTGATCTTTCGAAATCTGACAAGGGAGATGGTTCTTCACCGAATCCCGATGAAGTTTTGGCAATTCTTAGAAGTGTCAAGAATAGTGTCGTCGAGGCGGGTGGAATGACCAACGGTGTAAAGTCCTTGGTACGCGAACTACGAGGTGAAGTGCTGGGCATGGGTCGAGAGCTCGGCCGGCGACTAGACGAGATTGAGACCTCCCGTGCCAATGACGAGCCTGAGGAGCAGCCTAGGGCTGCCGGCCCAGAAGAAATTTCCGCAATCGTCAATCGCAGCCTGGATGACCTCAAAGAGCAGCTGGCTGCTACTGTCAATGAGAGTCGGCAGCAATCGTCCGACCTGTCCGAGTTCCGATCAACCATGAACAGTGCCGCAATCTACTCTGTTGTGAAAAAAGCCCTCGATGAGCTCGAACTCCCTCAACCTCAAGCCGAGCCCCGAGGTGCTGAAATGGACAGAGAAGATATCCTCGAGACTGTTCGCGAAGCTTGGGAGACCTACAAGCCTGAAATCGAGTTTAACAACTTTGGTTTGGAACGAGACGAGATCCTAACATGTCTTGCAGAAGGGCTCAAGTCTTACCAGCCCCAGCACGAACAGGCAGTCACCTACGACCAGGTTCTCGCAGCCGTCGAGGACGGCATGCAGAAGTTCATTCCTCCACAAATCGAGCACCCGCCAAGTATATCCCGGGACGAGATAATCTTGACGATCCGCGAATGCTTGGAGAAGCAGCCCGAGCCTGCCTCCAGATCCCTTGATGAGGAACACGTCGGTCATCTCCACTCGATGCGTGACGAGATTCTCGATGCTGTTTCAAAAGCCATGGCGAGTCATAACGAAGGTTCAAGGTCTCTGGACGAGGAACATGTCAATCACCTCTACTCCATCCGCGATGAAATTCTCGATGCGGTCACTGGGACGATGGCAGCCAACAATATGCGGCCCAAATCTTTGGACGAGGATCACGTCAGTCACCTGCACTCTGTTCGCGATGAGATAATTGAAGCCG